CGCCAAGCTGGCTGAGGGGCGGAGAGTGGGAAATTCAAATCTGACAACTCTGTATATGTATAAAAAGGCTTTATTTTGTATTCAATGCATGTCTGCTTGACGAATGATCGTGGTATGACATCCTTTCCAGCTGGATCGCAATAAACAACTCGGTGGCTTCTCTTCAACTTGTTGAGACCTTTTATTGGGAAAAATCAGGGGGAAATATTGGGTGCTTCTTTCTGTCTCACCAGGGCAACAAACTCTTTGATGAGTCTGCTTGGTCTCTGCCTCCTGGCAAAGACCCCTAAATTCTTGTTCGATATCAGAGACTCATACAATCCAGTTTAAATCAGATAATCTGGGATTAAATCCTGGCATATAGGGCAGTGTAGAAGGGGCCATAGGGTGCATCAGCACTGCGGAATTAATGCAGTTTGACACTACTTTAAAAATGCTCCATGCTATGGAATCCTGGGAGTTGTAGTTTGATGAGGCGCCAGCACTCTTTGGCAGAAAAGGCTGAAGACCTTGTAAAACTACAATGCCCAGGATCCCACAGCATTAAGTCAAGGCATTTTAAAGGAGTGTCAAATTGCATTAATTCTAAAGGGTAGATACACCCACAGTCAGTGACAGAAAGCAAGGATAAAGCTTATATTTTATATTAAAGTATATACTTTACATAGAGGGGTTTGCTTGTTTTGTATAGAAGGATTGGTTTGCAGAAACCCACCAGTTCAGAGTATGGACTTTAATTCTAGAGAAATGTCACAGAGAATCAGATCCCTAAAAACTGTGTACAATGGATCATGGTAAAGTTTTATAATTGCTTGTGTTGACAAAGGATGGGAACACAGTCAAGCTATCATACAGCATTTGCTGCATGGGCAATTTTGAGTCAATTTACCTGGAAATAGTCTGGCAGCTTCTTCAAAAAGCATATTCCTGCAACTGCTCCTGAAAATGTGCTTTCGATTAGCTGTAATAGCTTGCTGTTCAAAAGTGCACAGTGTCATGGCTACTTCTCTAGATGAATGATCTTCTGAACTGACAAGTCAAGGCCTCCCAGGAAAACAAAATTCACATTAAAGAAATGCACTTAATATTTTGTATATGACATGCTCCAAGATAGGAAAGATACCTTTCACCCATTGTTCAATGGTCAAAAGAATTTCCTCCTTTTCCTATGCAGGAGCACATATTTTATCAATTTCCATTTTAGGAAAAATATTTTTTTGAAATATAGCCAGCCTACATTAATGCACGTGCCTAACTTTTGTCTATCTCCAATGCATTTCCTTCTTCCTCCTTTCTTCCTAATCAATTTTTAAAAATCAGTTTTTTAAAAAACATTGGTAAAGAAACCCAGAAAATGTAGAGTGTTATGTATTTCCCCATCTTTTTATCTCAGATATATAGAGAGATTGAGAGTGAAAGAAATATCAAGCAAGAGAAAAGGAACAAGATCCTGCACATTTGTTTGATGTTGCCACTTAACAATCCTCTTACACAATTTAGTATCAGGGCATAAATGGCTGGTATCCTTGAAGTGACTGGCTTGACTCTGAAGGAGCTGGGGGCGGTGACAGCCGACAGGGAGCTCTGGCATGGGCTGGTCCATGAGGTTACGAAGAGTCGGAAGTGACTGAATGAATAAATAACAAGGTAAAGTATTGCTATGATACTGCACGTTGTTGGGAAGCTACCCAAAGGTGTGGAAATCACCTATCAGGCAGATGGCAAGCTATTTGACCTTAGCAGACTGAAAGCCAAAAACAAGGTCACAATAACATGTGTCATAGAACTCCAGTATGCTGGTGATAATGTAGTCTATGCTCATTCAGAAAAGGCCTATAAGCCATTCTAAACACTGTGTTGTTGAAGACCCCTCAACCTCTGAGGATGTCTGCCATAAATGTGGGTGAAACATTAGGAGAGAGAATGTTTCTGTAACAGGGCCATACAGCCCAGAAAACTCACAGCAACCCACATTCTAAACACCTTTTCATATGAAAAGTTTGGACTCTCACTGAACCAATTCCAGCAGTCACCAGTCGATTCCTCTGCAATGCTAGAAATACAGTTTAATGGTGTAATATTAGAAAATATTGACCGTTTCTGCTACCTTGGCAGCCACCTCTCCACAAGTCAACATTGACACTGAAATACAACACCGTCTGAGTTCTGCGAGTGCAACACTTTTCTGAATGAAGCAGTGAGTGTTTGAGGTTTGAGACATCCGTAGGGATACCAAGATGCTTGCTTATAAAGCTATTGTCCTCCCAACCCTGTTATACGCCTGTGAAACATGGACTGTCTACAGATATCACATTCAATTTCTTGGACGATTCTATCAGCGTTACCTCTGAAAAATCCTACATATCCCTTGGGAAGATAGGCAGACAAATGCCTGCGTTCTGGAAGAAGTAAAGACCACCAGCATTGAATTGATGATCCTCTGCCATCAACTTCACTGGACTGGCTATGTTGACGGAATGCCCTTTCTCACAGCCATATAATCAAGCCATATAATCTGCTTTGAACAGGGTTATCTGAGTCCACACTGCCATATCATCCAGTTCAATGTGGGTTTTCTACAGCTTTGTAAGGGCCCTTCCAGAGAGGCCCTATATCCCAGGATCTGATCCCAGGTTTTCTGTTTATCCCAGATTATCTGGCAGTGTGGACTCATATAATCCAGTTTAAAGCAGAAAACCTGGGATCAGATCCTGGGATATAGGGCTTTCCTGGAAGGGCCCAGAGTCTCCACTACCAGATAATCTGGGATAAGAAGATAATCTGGAATCTGATCCTGGGATATAGGGCTTGTCTGGAAGGGCCCGGAGTCTCCACTACCAGATAATCTGGGAAAAGAAGATAATCCTACATATCCCTTGGGGCTTTGAATGAGCCCCTTGCTTAGCATCCTTCACTTCCAGACAGGCCCTATATCCCAGGATCAGATCCCAGATTATCTTCTTTTCCCAGATTATCTGGTAACAGCAAAAGAGAAACATACCCTTTCTCTGACTTAAAAAGAGCAACATGGAAGAAAATGTTTTTAAGAAACAAGATGTGACATGTAGAGGTCGGAAGTTGTATTGTGGTTAAGTTCAAAGGTTGTTTTTTGAAGCGCAGAGTCTGCAGGTACAAGAAGGTACTTTCCATCAAAAGGTCAAGGGAGGGGCTGGAAAGAGAGTACTTTCCATGACAAAAAAAATGTTCTTGTTTACTTGAGGTTATATATTGGTGGTAAAAAGCCAAGAAGAGGTGGCAGTCACTTGAAGGGTAGCATCTGCGCATGCTACCAGGCTGTCCGTCTTCTTCATAAAGAAATTAAAATAAACCTTGTTTTTTAAATCTCTTTTGGGACTGACTCCTTCCTTATGTGTTCCCGTGACTGCATGGACCTAAGAAGACCCAATTTAGGGTCTCTAACAGAAGGGCCCCGAGTCTCCAGTACCAGATAATCTGGGATAAGAATATAATCTGGAATCAGATCCTGGGATATAGGGCCTGTCTGGATGGTCTCTGAACCTTCATTGCCAGATAATCTGGGATAAGAAGATAATCTGGGCTCAGGGATAAGAAGATAATCTGGGCTCAGATCCTGGTATACAAAAACAGTGTAGATGGGGCCAAAATGTGTATAGCAAACCTTCAGAAAGGGAAAGGTGTCCTTATCTCAGGGCCCTTCCACATAGCCAAATAACCCTGAATATCAAGACAGATAATGCACAATATCTGTTTTGAACTGGGTTATCTGAGGGTCCTTCCAGACAGGCCTTATATTTATTTATTTGCTTTATTTCTATACCGCGTTTTTCAGCCTAATTAGGCGACTCAATGCGGTTTACACAATGCAGGTTATCACAACAATAAACAGTTAAAAACACATCATACACAATAGCAAAATCCACAATTATTATCAATTCATGACGCCTCGATAACAGAGCAAAATCCATTCTCATAATCCTTGTGCCATTCCTATGTTCAATTTTACCGTCTTCCTGTGTTCAGTTGCACTGTTTAGCCAAACGCTTGCTCGTAGAGCCAAGTCTTAACCTTCTTCCGAAACGCCAGCAGCGAAGGAGCCTGTCTGATGTCTATAGGTAGGGCATTCCATAGCCGAGGGGCCACCACCGAGAAGGCCCTGTCTCTCGTCCCCGCCAACCGTGCCTGTGACGCAGGCGGGACCGAGAGCAGGGCCTCCCCGGACGATCTTAATGTCCGCGTCGGTTCATAGGTGGAGATGCGTTCGGATAGGTAAGTGGGGCCGGAACCGTTTTAGGGCTTTGTAGGTTAACGCCAGCACCTTGAATTGTGCCCGGTAGCAGATTGGCAGCCAGTGGAGCTGGCTCAACAGAGGAGTGGTATGCTCCCTGAGTGCCGCTCCTGTTAACAACCTGGCTGCCGAACGCTGGACCATCTGAAGCTTCCGGGCAGTCTTCAAGGGCAGCCCCACGTAGAGCGCGTTGCAGTAATCTATGCGGGATGTAACCAGAGCGTGGACTACCGTGGCCAAGTCAGACTTCCCGAGGTACGGGCGCAGCAATATCCCAGTATTTGATTCAGGTTTTCTTTCTGCTTTGACTTAGTCCCCGCTGCGAGATAATCTGGGATAAACAGAAAACCTGGGATCAGATCCTGATATATAGGGCCAGTCTGGAAGGGTCCTGTGTCCACACAACTCAGTTCAAAGCAGATGTGGAAGGCGCCTCAGCCACCGACGTGGACAATGATAGAGAAGAGATATAAGAGGAGAGGCTCAAACAAGCTTCTGCCACTCTCTCTCCCCGCATATGGCGGCCGACAGAGTCCAATGGGAACCGGAAATGTACATGTGACTCTTTTTTAAATAACAGGGGCCTCTTTGCTGCGCGCTTTCCTTTCTTCGGCCAGGCCAGCGCTGGCGGGTGAGTCGAGTGAAGGCGCGAGGGAGGGGCGGCGCGAGGCGAGGGAAGCGAGAGCTGTGACGTCACGGGCTGACGCTAGGGGCGCGTTTGTGACGCGGCGAGGATGCGACTGCATCGCGTCGGCGGCTCGGTTGCCCCTGGCAGCCTCCCGAGGTCCCCGTCCCTGGATGCTGGGAGGCCTCGGCTGCGGCCGGTGGAGGAGGGCGGCCCAGGCCATGGGGCGGGAACATTGGGGCCAGGAGGCTAGGGGGAAGTAGCTCCCCTTCCTCAGGAGACCACAGCCCCTTCGGGAATGGCGGCCTCGTGGCCTCAGCTGCGGAGGAGCGGGTGAGCCTTCTTCCCTGGCAAAGCGGGCCCGTGCCGCCTCCTCTGGGCGTGCGCCTGAGACGCCCTTGCTTCCCATGATGTGGGGATTAGCCACCATTTTCTGGACCCGCCCTTACCATTTCCCTTCACCTTCCTGCCTCTCTTGTTTCGACCAAGAGGTGCTGTAGAGGAGCCCTGCTTCTCTTTGGGAGGAACATACATAGGGGGGAAAAATAACAAACTCACGTTATGTATAAGATATTCAGTATTGAAGTATATATATTTTTAACTAGCCGTCCCCTGCCACGCGTTGCTGTGGCCCACATTGGGAGGTTTGGCCCAATTCTATCGTTGGTGGGATTCAGACTGCTCTGTGATTGTAGGTGAACTATAAATCGCAGCAACTACAACTCCCAATTGTCATGATTCTATTTTCCCCAAACTCCCCCAGTGTTCTCATTTGGGCGTGTTGCGTATTCATGTAGAGTTTGGTCCAGATCCACAGTGAGCTCTGGATGTAGGTGAACTACAACTCCAAAAGCAAAGGACACTGCCCATCAACACCTTCCAGTATTTTCTGTTGGTCATGGGAGAACTGTCTGCCAAGTTTGGTTCAATTCCATCGTTGGTGGGGTTCAGAATGTTCTTTGATTGTAGGTGAACTATAAATCCCAGCAACTACAACTCCCAAATGACAAAATCATTTTTTTGAGTGAAGGACATACATTGGGTTGTTAGGTGTCTTGTGTCCAAATTTGGTGTCAATTTGTCCAGTGGTTTTTGAGTTATGTTAATCCCACAAACGAACATTACATTTTTATTTATATAGTTAATAATGGAAGAGATTTGGTCAAATTTTGTACAGGCTGTTTGGTAAATGAAGGCACGTTTACAGGTAGTCCCCAAGTTATTAGTATTATTATCATCATCTTTACTTGTTTCCCTCTTTTCTCTCCATGGGGACTCAAGGCAGCTAACACTAAACTGTTTAAAAAGTGGATCTCAACCTGGGATCCCCAGATGTTTTTGGCCTACAACTCCCAGAAATCCCAGCCAGTTTACCAGCTGTTAGGATTTCTGGGAGTTGAAGGCCAAAAACATCTGGGGACCCCAGGTTGAGAACCACTGTCCTAGCTCATAGAATCCTAGAGTTGGAAGAGATCTCATGGGCCATCCAGTCCAATCACCTGCCAAGAAGCAGGAATATTCCATTCAAAGCACCCCGACAGATGGTCGTCCAGTCTCTGTTTAAAAGCTTCCAAAGAAGGCGCCTCCACCACACTTCAGGGCAGAGAGTTCCACTGCTGAATGGCTCTCACAGTCAGGAAGTTCTTCCTCATGTTCAGATGGAATCTCTTTTCTTGTAGTTTGAAGCCATTGTTCTGCATCCTAATGGCTCTCCATGCAGTCATGTGGCCGGCATGATGCATGGAGCGCCGTTACCTTCCGGCCTAGTCAGCACCTATTTATCTACTCACACTTGAATGTTTTCGAACTGCTAGGTTGGCAGGAAAAAGAGCAATACAGAAGTTAAAAAATTAAATAATAGCAGTGTTGTAAGAACAGAATTAAAATACAGCAAATACATTAATATGGCTTTTAAAACTCTAACCCCCACTTCCACCCACCCTCCACACAGCTTCCCTTTACCTTTTCCCCAAAGCCTGTTGGCAGAGGAAGGTCTTGACAGTTAAAATACTATTAGCTGCTGTTCCACACAGCCACATAACCCAGAATATCAAGGCAGAAAATCCCACAACATCTGCTTTGAACTGGGTTATCTGAGTCTACACTGTCATGTATATACAAAGCAGATAATGTGGGATTTTATTCAGCTGTGTGGAAGGGGCCTAAAACTATATTTAAAACTCCCCCCCCCAAAAAAATCCTTTTTCCAACCTCCCCAAGAGCATGCCCCTTATTCTTCCCCAAATGTCTGTTGGCAGTGGAAGGTCTTGAACTGCTTCCTCTCTTGGGAGGGTGTTCCACAGCCTGGGAGCAGTCACCAAAAAGACCTTCTCCCATGTTCCCATCACCTGTACGCTTAAGCAGGTGAATGGGACCAAGAGAAGGCCCTCCAGTAGATTGTAGATGTCTCCCGGTTAATATAAAGAGATACGGTCCTTCAGATAACCAGGACTAGAGCTGTATAGAGCTTTGTAGGTCAACCCCAGTACTTTGAATTATTCTTGGAAACCTGTTGGCAGCCATTACATCTGCTTAAATGGGGGGGGGGGGTTGTCTGCTCCCTATAGTCAGCCCCATTTAACAGTTTGGTCACTGCTCTCTGGCCCAACTGAAATTTCCAAACAGCTTTCAAAGGCAGCCCCATGTAGAGTGCATTACAATAGTCCAATCAGGATGTAACTAAGGCATGTACCACCTTGGCCAGATCAGCTTTCTCCAAGAACGGGCACAGTTGGGCGCACTAGCTTTAACTGTTCTAAAGCTCTCCTGGTCACTGCTGATACCTGGGTATCCAGGTTCAGAGCTGCATCCAGGAGTACTCCCAAACTGAACCTGCATTTTCAGGGGCAGTGTTACCCCATCTAACACAGGTTGACTCCCTATTCCCAGATCTGTTATATGACTGACTAGGGTCTGTAGGTTTGTCCTTAAGTTGAATTTGTATGCAAGATGGAACATATACTTGCATACAAATTCACTAACCCTGGATATGTAAACTAGCTTGGGTACCCGACAATGCTTGGGTTATTTGAAAAGGGCATTGGTTATTTTTGGATGATAGGTCATATCAATTTGGTAATTTGTAATACTATTTATTATTTAAAAAATCAGTCTTTGCTTTTTTAATGAATGCCCCTGTTAGAAAATGCATAAGGACGTGGGTGAACTACAGTTCCCAACTTGAATGAAATCCTCTCAGTTATTAAAATAGTGTAGTACATACTTCTTATTTTGCTTTCAGGAAGAGTTCCCTTCTGGATTTTTCCTTGGATGAAAGCATGCTCCCTTCCGTAGAAGATGGTGAACTTGAATTATGATCATGGAAAAGGGGATAAGTTCTGTGGAAGTTCTTCCCTCCAAATCTTCTCATGCCACTGCAGTAAGGATGGTGGTGAAAGAACATGAAGCAGTGCAGAAAGTGAGACAAGTGGGATTTGTGCTTGTACATGCAGGTATAGACACATCTTACTCAACAGGAAGGTTGACTATGGCAAAACATAGTATACAATACTTTGGGAGCATGTAAAGCTTGAATACCAGCGATTGATAAATAAATACTTTGTGTTTCATTTCCTTTGTGGGATCCCAGTGGTCTAATTATTTCAATACTGTGAGCCTTTAGTGTCCAAAGGGTTGTATTTCAGAACCTCTCCATGGATGCCAAAATTTGTAGATACTCAAATCCAGTTATAATCAATGGTATAGTAGAGTGGCCTTTACATAAAAGGGCAAAATGTTTTTTTATATATGCCATTGGTTGTTTAAATTATGGATATGAATGACTTTTCTAGTGTCCTCTTTTTCACATGATTATGAGTATCTTTTTTAAAAAAAAAATCTTGTCCTCTTAGAAGAGACAGTGTAAGACACGGATCTTTAGGATTCTCAATTGAGTATCTCGATTTAAAGTTCATGGTCTTTCTGCTCTCACAAGTGGCTTCCTGATGTTTACATTTCTGGATTTGCCATGTTGCTTTTGATTAAGGTCAAGGTGGAAAACTTGTTTCTTTTGAAGACTAGATTCCCTTTGGATAATCATGTAGAGGTTATATGCCATTGATATGGAGAGTTGGAGCCAAAAATGGACAGGGACATTTCTTTCCTTGTCTCTCACAATGTTTCCTCTCCTACTTCTTCCCCACCCAGGAAGATTGCTCTTGCTAGATAGCTTTTCAGATTGATCAAATTTGTTTGAAATTAGGGTATTGTTCCATTGTCCAGGCAGAGTCCAGAAGGGGGCACTAAAGAAATAGTCCATTTTATGGGGGGGGGGGGGGGGGGGAGTTCAAGGACAAAAACCATATCCCCCATTTTCACTTGTTCTTCCCCCTCCCCATTTCATAATCTAAGTTTGTTTCCATGACGGCGATATGGGTGGGGAGGGGGGAATAACAGGAAAATCGGGAAATGGCTTTACTCCTTCAACTCCCCCGCCCCACTCCCCCATAAATGGACTATCCTTCTCTGTTTAGCGCCCCCTTATGGAGTCTGCCTAGATCAGGGGTCCTCAAACTAAGGTCTGGGGACCAAATATGGCCCTCCATGGTCATTTACCCGGCCCTCGCTCAAGGTCAATCTAAGTCTGAAAGGACTTAAAAACACAAAACAACAACAACAATCTTATCTCACCAGCCAAAAGCAGGTCCACACTTCCCATTGAAATACTAATAAGTTTATATTTGTTAAAATTGTTCTTCATTTTAATTATTTTATTGTTTTAAAGTGTTTTTTTGCACAACAAATAAGATATGTGCAGTGTGCATAGGAATTCATTCATTTTTTTTTCAAGTAACAATCCGGCCCCCCAGCAGACTGTGACCTGGCTCTCTGTTTAAAAAGTTTGAGGACCTCTGGCCTAGATAATGGAACAGTACCTAAATTAGTATGAGAACTGTAGATTGTCGGCCCTTAAACTAAAATGTAAACTTACAGCCAACATTCCAATTTCATGGGGGTTAGGGGCAAGTTAGGGAGGCAGCTGGAAACAAGGCTGCTTTGTGAATATTCACATAGTAACTGCAATGTCAAGAATCAGGGCCGGGGTGCAAGCTGTTGAAAAATCAAAACCATCAGTGTGAAACCTCCAGTGTAAAGGACTGACCTTTTTTCATGCTCTTCTTAGGTGTTTGAACTATCTAACTTTTCTGGTTTGACAGAATGTCTTAATTTTCTTTGTTTTTAATGACACACCATCATTTTAATTAATAAATGGATATTTGGCCTAAAAGCTATGGCATATTTTCAAGGCTACAATGCAACTGCGTAGCCTTAACATGTGCAAATGATATTTTCTTACTGCTAGGCTGAAAACAATTCCACGCAAGTTATGAAAACCCATTAGCAATGTTGTATAGGTGGCCTGACAAGGAATGTGGTAGATTCCTAGGACTCAAATTCTCACTGTTTCAGGGAACCCACCTGGATAACTGAGCCAGTCACACTTTCTCAGCTTTGTAAGACCACAATGGCAAACCTCTAAATAAAGCTTGTCCAGGCAACTTATAGAGTCGCCATATGTTGGTGTTGACTTGAAGGCCCATAAGAAGGGAAATAGCAGTGGGAATCCTGTGAGTTCAGAGTTTTCAATTTCATCTTGGTTGTTTAGGGTAGTTCTTTTAATTTGAGTTGTTACTGGGCCAGACTACATTGAATATGTAACGGTTATCTCTAAGAAATATATATCAGCCTTCATCATTCCATGGAAGGCAAAATTTCTGTTAAAAGAGTGACAGAGTATAGAAACTTATGGAGACTTATTCAAAACCATCCCTATATTGTTTGTATGATGATAGACCTTTGCACATTAGAAATTTCAGGTTTTTTAAAAGAACAAATACTGTCTGTTTAATTTAGAGGGGGAAATATGTCACCATCCAGATGATATTGATTTATAACTCCCTTCAGCTCCAGCCAGCATAAACCAATAGCAAGGAATGCTGGGACTTGTATTTCAGCAACATCTGGAGCACAGCCCAATTATGCCCCTCTTTTAATAGGATGGATGTGGGTTTACAGACTTTTTATGGGTTACATTTTTGTTGATTACGCTTTCTGTGTGTTTTATGGAAAGATTATTTCTGTTGTATGTACTTAACCTGTTTTTCTTCCCTTTATATCCCAACCTCCACATATTAGGTGCAGGGTATCATTCTGAATCCAAAGCCAAAGAATATAAGCATGTGTGCAAAAGAGCCTGCCGGAAGGTAAGAGGTGGTTGAAAAATGCTTTCAAGCTTACTGGTAATTATCAGAAATTATTAATGAATGTTTGTCACTTTTTAAAAAGTAGATTAGCTTTCATTATTAAGAAGAATAAGAGTTAATTTTGGAGCCAAATGCAGACCTTTCTTCCCTGACTTCAGAAACTGCAATATATATATCTTGCTGTTTTTTAAAGAAAGTGACAAATGTGTGTGTGGGGGCATAGAAATGACAATTTAAGCACTTTCAAATTTATGTTAGATTTTGGTGACTTGCTCTTTTTACAAAAAATCTGGGAAAATTGTCATCTTGTGCAAAATAAATAAATACCTAAATAAATAGATGGATGGGTGGACATACAATGCATACAATGCTCCTTGATGCAGTGTTCCATTTAGTCAAAATTCTAGATAATGGTGGTAGGGCTGCATAGGCATATTTTTTAACTCTTGGAATTTCCTTAATTTACTACTTTTTATAGTAGTTCTAGATCAGTGGTTCTCAACCTTCCTAATGCCACGACCCCTTAATACAGTTCCTCATGTTGTGGTGACCCCCAACCATAACCCTAACATTATGAATTGCCATGTAAATAATGATCTGCAGGATGTATTTTCATTCACTGGAGCAAATTTGGCACAAATACCCGGTATGCCCAAATTTGAATACTGGTGGGGTTGGCGGGGGAATTGATTTTGTCATTTGGGAGTTGTAGTTGCTGGGATTTATAGTTAACATGTAAACAAAGAGCATTCTGAACCCCACCAACAATGGAATTGAACCAAAGTTGGCAAAGAGAACTCCCATGATCAACAGAAAATACTGGAAGGGTTTGGTGGGCATTGACCTTGAGTTTGGGAGTTGTAGTTCGCCTACATCCAGAGAGCACTGTTGGCTCAAGCAGTGATGGATCTGGACCAAACTTGGCACGGATACTCAATATGCCCAAATGTGAACCCTGATGGGGTTTTAGGAAAATAGACTTTGACATTTGGGAGTTGTAGATACTAGGATTTATAGTTCACGTACAATCAAGGAGCGTTCTGAACCCCAGCAATGATAGAATTGGGTCAAACTTCCCACACAGAACCCCCATGACCAACAGAAAATACTGTGTTTTCTGATGGTCTTTGGCGACCCCTCTGACACCCCTTCGCGACCCCCACAGGGGTCCCGACCCCCAGGTTGAGAAACACTGTTCTAGATAGTATTTTATAAATTTTGGATGTTTATGTTGCATTTTTTAACCTAGGACCAAGACCTGTTGAACATGTTCATGCTTACATTTTAATAGTTACACTGTACTGAGATTCCCAATTAACCATGTTGCTACTTATTAAATCCCATTTCAGGCATAAATAGTATTTCACCAAATAGTAGTTCACTGTCTTGCCTTTTAAACTCATCTCCATTTCATTTTATGGGTACACAATTATTTTAGCCTTTAGGTGTAATCTCCACCTACTTTTTTAATTTAGAATTGTAATGAGGAGCTTAGCATCTCTAGTTGTTAATGTACTGCAATGTAAACAGCATAACAAGTTGTTAGCAATGATGATCATGCTCCAGCAACATTTGGAGGAACACAGTTTATTCACCCCAGTTTAGAATTGTTTAAATCTTTTTTTAAGCTGTGCTTTAAATGATGGCTTTGTCTTTCTTCTGGCATGGGCTGTTTTGAACTCTTGGAAGAAATTCCCAGTCTGAGGAGTAATAGTTGAGAATGACTGACTGTGGAAGGTAATGAGGAGGCCAATCTCAAGTTGCCACAATCACAGTAGTATATAAGATATGTGATGGCCTTCAGATCATTTAGATAACTTCTTAAACTGTGGGTCCTAACCCAAATAGGGTCTCCTTAGTTCAAAGTTGGGGCCACAAAAATGTAACAGGAAATGCTTTCAGAACACCATCCATTTGCACAAATCTGTTAACGGCAATATGTAGGACTCAGAATGGACTCTGCAGAAAATGCTTCAGCTGTACTCCACAAAATGGAAAATCAGCCTGTTTAGCAAATCTTGCTAATACTGATGTATTATCAATAAATGTTTTATTTTATACCTATTTTATATACTTGGGGTCATGTACAAATTTCTCAAGTGGAAAATGTTAACAGGTGGAAAAAGTTTAAGAATCCCTGGTTTAGATTATTATATTGTGTCTTCAGTGCTATCGGAAGGCATGTAAATGATGGCACACTGTTCCCCTCATCAAACTTCTTGTTTGATTTTGGCTTCTTTATTGAAATTTCATTGGGCTGTTTCTATTTCTGTAGCTAAAACATGTGTCCAAACTCTTGAATTGTGATTAACTTGGTGTATTTGCTGTGGAAATTTGTTCCATTAACAAGTGTATCTTACCGTAAGGCTTGAATTCCATTGATTCAATGGAGTTTATATAATTATGGCTTTAGTTTTCAACAATTCAGTGGATCTACTTTAGTTTAGACTTATTAGGAAGATTCTTATTTAAATACCTCTAACTGGTAAATATTGAGAAATTAATTACTTCTTAGTTGTCAATTGTATGCAGTACAAAAGAAGAATATTTACAGTTATTTGTGCTTTTATGGTAGTTTTGGTTTCTTCATGTTAACATGCTTAACCTGTAAAACAGCAGTTTTAATAGTATAGTTGGAGTTCTTAATTTGTGTGGTTCATGATTTGGAAGTTCTGGTTTTTTTTAAGAGTACCTACACATCTCTCAAAATTACATTGAAAAACATCAATTTCAGGTTCAGCTTACTAGGTTATATGGTATAAAAGATTTAATATGTAAGAAATTAAGAGGCAAGATTTTATATCTTAAAAATTCTGTCTTCTAGGCAATTGAAAAGCTACAGGCTGGGGCTCTTGTAACAGATGCAGTGACTGCAGCGCTAGTTGAACTAGAGGTACTTACATTTATCCAGGCATTCAGTCATTTGGATGCAGTTTGTTGACCACATTTTTCTGTTCCTCTTATCCTGTATTACATGCATTAATCTGGGAACATATGCATATGTGAGAGGGCATAGATGTATTTTACAGTAATTCTGGGGCTCTTCTTTTTCTTTGTTATTGCTGAAGATTTATGCCCTTTTCTGTAAAAGGTGGCTGACAGATTTACTCTTGAGTGCATATTACATTTTTTACTTTCATTTCAGAAGTTAGGGTTTGCTTCTTTCTTTATGTATGCCTTCATCCTGGTAACAGAACTAGCAGTAATTTTATGAGCTCATGAATCTTGCCCTGGCAAAACACTATATTGACCGTAAGGCACAAGATCCTGTCTGATCTTGGAAGTTAAGTAGGGTCAGCCCTGCTTAGTATTGGGTGGGAGACAGCTAGTGAATATCACGTGCTGTAGGAGTCCTCCGTGGCGCAGCAGGTTAAACTACTGAGCTGTTGAACTTGCTGACTGAAAGGTTGGTGGTTCAGATCTGGGGAGTAGGGTGAGCTCACGCTGTTAGGCCCAGCTTCTGCCAACCTAGCAGTTCGAAAACATGCAAATGTGAGTAGATCCCTTGGTGGGAAGGTCACGGTTGGCCACATGACCTTGGAGGTGTCTACGGACAACACTGGCACTTTGCTTAGAAATGGAGATGAGCACCATTTTCCAAAGTCAGACACGACTAGGCTTAAAGCCTTTACCTTAGACTATATTTCAGAGGAAGGAACTGGCAAAACAGGAATGGAACTAGGGCTGTCTGTCTCATGGTTTTGCATGTTGTATATGAAATGAGTTAGGGATTCAAATGAATTCCAGGTCTTTATGTTTGTAGGATGAGAACAGAAAATTAGGCTTCAATTTAGTGATTGCTGATGTCAGTACTTAGCTATTTAATTGTAATTAGCCAGAGATCTATGTATTTCCTGATTATTAAATTTTCCAAATGTTGTAATTTTAAAGCTTATAGCATTAATTATTGAGATGCTCTGCAAAAGATTGACTAAAAAGTATAAAAAGATAGGGTATGTAAACTACTGTGAGACCTAACTTATTCCCAGCCAGCATTGCCCACTTTTCTTTCATCTCTCGTTTTTCACATTTTGCCTTTTGCTTTATTTGGTATCTCACCCCATATCATTTATTCAGTTGTAGCTTTCCTTTGTGACCCTATCAGCTAGAAGAAAATAATTGCTAATGATGTCATAATCCTCAACTTGACTGCAGTGCATATACCCTTGTGGCCATCTGATTGAAAGAAAGCTTTTCCATTGGCATCAACATCTCTTGACTTGGTTCCTCCCCTATTTCATCCCTAGGCAGTCTTTGAGCTTTTGACTGTTTCTTTTCATGCTGAGGTATGATGGTTGTAATGTTTTGAAATGTGCACCATGGCTCAGCTTGTCCTTTAATTGCTTGAATTTTCAGCCAGTCAGATATAGGAAGAAGATTGGTTTATGACTGTTTGTTTCTCAAGTTCTGTGTTTGTTAATTCTGTTCTTTGTTGGTACTCTCAGGGGAATGTTGCATTTTAGGAGACTCAGTAAACACTGTCTTTTCCTTTTTTGGTTTCTCTCACCTTTCAAATGATCCTTCTCTTTTTCCTGTTGACAGAAGTTATTATTGTTGTAATTAGCAGCAATCATATGCTTATAAAATCATTGGAGGCATAGAAATTGTTGGTAGGGCAAGAGAAGCGATTCTCAGTCTTCCTGGTCCAATTCTTATCACTCCATTCACTATTCAATTCTCATAATAATGGTGGAAATAATCAAAGGCTGGATGTGCACTGCCATTTATTCCAGGATCTGATCCCAGATTATCTGCGTATCCCAGATTATCTGGCACTGGAGACTCCTATAATTTAGTTTAAAACGGAAAATCTGGGGATCCTTCCGCACTGCCACATAACCCAGAATATCAAGGTAGGAAATTCCACAATATCTGCTTTGAACTGGGCTATATGAGTCCACACTGCCATATATTCCAGTTCAAAGCCAATATTGTGGGATTTCCTGCCTTGATATTCTGGGTTATATGGTTGTATGGAAGGGCCCAGGCATCACATCCTGGGCCTGTCTGGAAGCCCCCCCCCCCTCCCCTCTCAGTATATGTTCGAAATGCAAAGCTAAGGCTGCCAGTGTCTTAGTGAGATCCTAGTTAGGAAATTTTTAATTCAGATGAGAGATGTTATAGATTAAATAATAAATAGATCTGGTGTCCAACTTGATTGGGGGCTATGGGGAAGGCATACAGTAGGCTCTCTGTATTCATGAGACGTTGGTTCCAGTAATTCCTGAAAATATCAAAATCAGTGGATGCGGAAGTCCACCTTTATGAAATGGTATAGTAAAATGGCCTATGAAAATTTGATTTTTTAAAAAAGAAAATTGCAAATTATGGTTGATTGAATTTTCTGGATGTAGAGTCTAGAATACAGAGGGAAATTGGACTGAGGAACAGTAGGTATAGGCTGGAGTATGTTGTTCCAAAAAGGAGTGTAAAGTGAAAAGGTTTTGGTTTAGGTATTCAATTTTTAAGCACTGCTAGTAATGCCTTTTTGCATAAATATTGTTGATATTAAAATTTGAGTAACAAATAGAAAAATGTTGACTATTTTGATATTTTCGCATTGGATGTCATGCTCTTAGTGGGGAAAGCAGATATGTTATAGGTTATAGTAAAGCTCAGTTTAAGGTTGCAAAAGAAAATTTAGAAAGATCAAAGAGCTTGGGAAAAGGAATAGAGACATAATTTTGGGACTGGAACAACTCAGATTTCTCAGTTCCAAAGTGAATAGAACCGAATTTACAGTGTGGACTGGGGCTAGAATTCACTCTATTCTGTCTGGAACCATATTGGTTGATCTCTGTGGAATTGAGACAGGAAGGAATTTTCCCTGGAAGGAAAGAGTTCACATCCCTTATCTTCAGAAAAGGTATAGTTTTGCTACCAATAAATGTAATAGGAAAACCATTGCATGCTTTGGAACTTTTAAGGAGTCCCATGGTAGGACTAAAATATTTGAATATTTTATATCCAGGCTTCTAAGGAGCAGATTAATGAAAGTCCTTGGATAAAGACTTCTTTTGTGTGTGATTAAGATAATTTGGGTCATGTAAAAACATATTTTTTAAATCACCCACTTTTGTTTGGAGGAAAGGGAGACAGGGAAAGAGAATAAACTTTTTCAGGCAGTTGCCTCCTCCCATCTGCTCCAGCTTCTGCTGAGTTTACCAGTTACACAGGATTCCAGCAAGTCCAAAAGGAATCACTTCAAAGACTTGTCAAGCTGCTGGGATTTCTATTGATCTTTTATGAGCTAGCTGACAGTTTGCTTGTGATAGGAGTGCTGTTTTTTGTTCATTTTTTTTCTGATGTGGAATGAATGTAAGCTCCTTCTGTCAGACAATGTATATTCACCAAGAGGCTGTTAGCTAGTATGTCTGATGCAGAAAGAGAAAAGCTACATGAAGCTGATGAGCTACAAATAATTTCGAATAGCTGCTATATCTTTTAACTTTAAGCAGATATTTGCCAAAGGGGAACATAGCTGAAGTATTTTTCTTTCCTTCTTTGAGGATAGGAGGTATGATTGGCATTTGAAAATACTGTGCAAAAGATTCCTGGATATATAAAGCCACCTCATAGGCCAGTGCAAACTGCATTAATACTATGGAAGCCCTTTTCTGCCTACAGCCTGTTCAGAAATCTGGGTCAGCGGAGAATTGTAGCTTGGATTTCTTTGTGCAACTATTTTTCCTAGAATATTTCTGAGAGAAAACAATCCCCTTTCCCTTGCTGGCTGCTGGATGTGTTTTCAGAACTAAGCTTTGGTGATAATTGACCATTTCCCTCAGCAATTCTTTCCTCCCTTTTTCTAAATGAAAGAGTGCCATTTTCTTTATCAGATAGCCCTTGTATCGGCATATTTGGAATGAATAGGGATTCACACCTGAAGAATAACAGAAAAGGAAGTGATATGTACAGCTACAGTGAATGAATAATTAACATTTAAAACAGCAGTTTTATATTTTTAATAAGGTCTTTTCATTTAAAACAATAATTGCAGAATACAAAAAAATGAAATAATGTTTTAGACCAATCCCTATCCTTCACCCTAAACTGTAAACATTTCTAGTCCCACAGCATCAGACTGACATTTTAAATATGTACCTGAAATTGATTTTTATAATATGTGGTTTTGTTCTTGGCAGTTGAGAAATAGGATCTTAATTATAATGTAATATATTCATGTTGTAGAATAGGATGTTGTGATAGGTGAAGTTAATAAAAGCTCTATTTTGATGGCTCATGCGTCTTTATTAATTTTTATTATATCTTTATCAATTGTCTCCTGACAGTAATAGGAAAATGGTGCTTTTACACTTACATCATTATAATATAATTAGATACTGTCATACTCAACAAAGAGGCTGAATCTGTCAACTGGAGAATGGGCTTCAGAGAAGGGGATGTGTTTGTTTTATATTAGAGTCAGGGTATAGTTTTAATAGTGTTTTAAGATTCGATATGTTTTTAATTATTGTTTTAATATAGATGTTTATTGTATTATGTATGTATATTTACATGGCATCGAATTGTTGCCTGTATATGTAAGCAGCCTTGATTCCCCTACGGAGTTGAGAAAGGCGGAGTATAAATAGTTCTCATATTGACACTGATGTAATTCAACCCAGGGTGTTTTTTTTACTAAAATTTTTAGATTTACACATGAATATATAGCAGGCATGGGCAAACTTTCAAACTTGGGGGCTGCATGGTGGGCCAGAGCAGGGTGGGTAGACCAGGAGAAAGGGGCTTCTCCTGAAGTTCCCTCCCTGCCCTTTCCTCCCCTTCCTCTTCTATGAAGGAAAGACAGGAAACATTTGGATCCCAAAAGGTTGGCCTTGGTCAGGATGAGATGGTAAACAGGAGAGAAAAAGTGTATCCATTGGACTCGGTATTGCCTATTCCTGATATAGAATCTTACAGCTGGAAGACCCCCCCTCCCCCTGCAATGCAAGAAGGCACAATCAAAGCCTCTGCAGAAAAGCCTCCAAAGAAAGTGACTCCACCACACTCCGAGGCAGCCTATGGCATTGAATGTTTGCCACTATGTTTTTTATTGTAAGCCACTCTGAGTCCCCTTAGAGAGATAGGGCAGGTTAAAAATAAATAATACTAATAAATCTTATTATTATTGTTATTATTATTATTATTCTGCTCTCCAACAGCACTTACTCTCAGGAAGTTCTTCCTAATCTTTTCAGGTGAATCTCTTTTCCTGTCATTTGAAACCATCACTCCCTTGTGCCTTGGTCTCTAGAGCAGCAGAAAGTCAGTATTTCCCCTCCTTCCTCCTCAATGGGATACTCTTTTAAATCTTGAAACATGGCTCTCATGTTCCCTCTCTATCTTATTTTCTCCCAGCTAAACATCCCCCAGGAAGAAAGGATGAAGAAAAAAGAGAAGGAAGAAAGGGAGAAAGAGAAGGGATGAAGGGTGGAAGGAAATGGAGGGAGCAAGGGAGAGAGGGGAGAGAGAAAACAGAGAAGGAAGGAAAGACAAAAGGGAAGGATGGAAGGAGAAAGGGAGGGGGAAGGGAGGAAAGAAGGAAGGAAGGACAAAAGAGTGGAAGGGAGGGAGGGAGGGACAAAGAGGTAAGGAATGAAGGGATGGAAGGAGGAAGGAAAAAGAAGGAAGGAAGGATAAGATGGTGAGAGAGAAGGGGGGCTGAGGAAAGAGCCCTAGGCTGCATCCGAGCCCTGGCCCTGGGTTTGCCCATACCTGGTATATAGGGTATATAATCCTGATTATTTAATAGGAGATCTGTATATAATGCAACTTAGTTTACATCATATTTAACATTTATTCTGTGTAAGAGCAAACAATGTTGAGTAAGCTTTCTCCATATCACCCAGATGTTATTCAGCACATGCTAAAGACAAAGTATGATCATTTGGCTGTAAAGCTTGGTTGGAATGTCAGAGAGGAGTAATTTCCATCATTGATTGGCTGCAGCTAAAAATATTGTGTGCCTGTAATGCTGCCAGTATTAATGCAAATGCATTTTGGAAGTAAAATATTTGAGAAATGAAATTCTGAGAATTATGAGAGAAATTGAGATGGAATCACCTGGAGTATATATAATTGAAGATTATATATTTTTCAAGCATGAAGCATGATGAGTTTTATCTTAAACTTAAAGTGTTGGCTGACAAATGCTTTGCATAAAGTCTCTTCATCTTTCTTTTTATCTGTATAGATTCATCTAGTGGCTTCACCAGAATAGCTTGTGGTTGTACTTTTTTCTTTTGCAGATTGATTAATAATGTAAAGTACAACTTTAAAAGAAATATAATTTGTGATCTATGTTGAGATTGGGAGTGCAAGTTTGATGTGGTTCCCAGTTCCTTTAAAATATAGTTTTGGCACTTCAGTTTTTCTTTTGCAGAATGTTTGTATTCTGGTTATAAGCAGCTTCTACAATTCACTGCTTCAACTGTATGAGAAGGAATAAAGAGAGTTCATTCTCCACCTCTTGAAAAAGATTGTATCTGGAGTAACTGAATTGCAACTAGGTCCCATTGAAAACAGTGTAAAAAAATCACCCACAATTCAATTAAATCTCACACTTCAAATGGGAAATGAATTCAATTACATTAACGTGGATTCACCTCAAAGTGTTTCTAAGGACTTGATCATAACTTGGTAGGGTACTCCAATTTCTAATAATCCAGATGAGCCAACATGGTATAGTGATTTGAATCATTGTCTAAGATGCAGGGAGACCAGGGTTTGGATCACTGCTTGGCAAACAATACCCTCCCAGTTTCAAGGGGCAATCCCCCTGCAATAAGGTTGCCCGAAATTGGGTATGACTTGAAAGCACACAATAACAAGTTGTCTAGATAAGGATTGTAATGATAAGTGTCTTCCCTTGTATTACAATTCATCAGTAATGTTGGTTGCTTTATAATAATGGGGGAATAATATTCTTCCCCATTGAAGTGGCATGACAGAGTTGCTTTTCAAGCCACCTTTAAGAGTGATATAGCAAAATGGCTTTTTTTTTAAAAAAAGTCTAATATAAGGACTTGGAAGAAACCATTTTATTTCATTATTTGGGGAGATATCATCCATTAAGCATCTCACTTAAGAAAACTTATTTTGGGAGGGGGGAAATTCAGCACATCGCACAATTCCTTGAAATATGGACCAAAACCAGGAGTGGATTCACCCTGGCTCTGACATGGAAACCACCTTCCACCACTAATTTTTATTGCTATGATATGACTGAGTTGAGTTATTTCTGTGTGTAATAAACAGTGGAAATGTTTCTCTTTTACTTTCTTAAGAGGCAAATTTTCTGTATACCATGATTCCTTAGATCAGTGGTTCTCAACCTGGGGTCCCCAGATGTTTTTGGCCTACAACTCCCAGAAATCCCAGCCAATTTACCAGTTGTTAGGATTTCTGTGAGTTGAAGGCCAAAAACATCTGGGGACCCAAGGTTAAGAACCACTGCCTTAGATCATGTTTGCCATCGTATTAGGAAGAAACATGAAATCTGGATGGTGCAGGGACATGTCTATATGTGTGACAATGACATCTGTTTTCTGCAGTATAATCTTGCATCAGTCTTTTAGAATTTGCCAGTAGAGTATATATCTTTTCACACATACTCTGAAATTTTCAGATACTGAGCCATATTATTTTGGTTTCAGATAGACTTTCACATAGTGTATCAGGAAAGCAGCTTCTTTCACTTTAATTCATCCTGAAGGTGCTATTTTATCAATTGGCAATTCCTTACATGCCTTTCATACTTTTCCTTTCCTTTTTCTCCTGTCATGCAAGGAAACTTCAGTTGCAATTCCTATTCTGAGTGATATATGTTGGGCAGCCAGCTTAACTAGTAATTGTTGCTTGACTTCTGAATTTGCTGTGTACATTTCAGGATATTTATCTTGATGCACTTTTCTTTAAATTTCTTTGTAGGATTCACCTTTTACAAATGCAGGAATGGGATCTAATCTAAACCTTTTGGGTGAAATAGAATGTGATGCCAGTATTATGGATGGAAAATCACTCAATTTTGGAGCAGTTGGCGCTCTCAGTGGTAAGGTTGATGAAGTTCTGATGGATGAAATGTTGAAATTCTTAAAGGCCATTGTGTTTGTATTTAAAGCAGTCTTCCCTAATTCGATGGCCTCCAAATGCATTGAATTGCAGCTGTCATCATTTCCAGAAGGCATGGCAAACACAATGAACAGCTGATTGGAAATGATGCAAAATGGTCCAACACATCTGGTGATTGGACAAGGACACTAGTCTACATATTAAGCTACAACCAATTAAAATGTTTAATATTATGCATACTGTTTCAACCCTTTTAACTTAAATATAATGTAATTGAATGGAGAAAAAACAAGCACCATGATTTGGATCTAGATGTCTGATGTAAATGGAATGAGCCTTTCCATTGGTGTCAGGAAACTAACTCAGCAATGATTTTTACATTCTCCCTCTCCCTGCTTCTTTCTGTGCGCCTCCAGAAGAGCAGTAGCAGGAGCTTCAGAGAGAAAGAGTGAGAGAGGAAGAGGAAATCCTTTCTTCTCACTTCTTCTCCCATCTTATTAGACAAAGTGTCCTGAGTCGAACTCAACTTACTAAGATATTCCAATAATGAGAGTGGGGTAGGGAGATCTTAGGACTAACTTATTATCTTCTATATATTGTATTAAATGTGGCTCTTTAATCTCATCTGATTATTTTGAGTCTTATGGTGACATTCCTCCATGTTGTTTTTAGCTTCTCTTAATTATTCTTACAATAATTGTACATGCCGGCGAGTGATGTCATTGATCAGTTCTCTCAAATCCAGATGCAAATAAATAACATTTCTTAAGTATTTATGCCTATTGTTATCTACAGTCATGGGACTTATTTTCCATGGTATTTCATCCTTGGTGTTAGCAGACGTGGTCTATTTTTATTTCTTGTTTTCCAGTCTACCTCTAAATTGGAAGATGAGCCTGCCCTTGATTTATTTGTTGTAACAGACGAATGTTGCTATGCCTCTGAAAATGTTTTTAATCTTGTCTTTTTTAGGAATCAAAAATCCTGTTTCTGTGGCAAATAGATTGTTGAGTGAAGGACAGAAAGGAAAACTCTCTGCAGGCAGAATTCCTCCTTGGTAATTACTTTATTCTGCTTGTTTCTTTGGTGCCATAATACTTAGAGTGTTTGGAAGCATGATTGAAAAATGGCTAATGTTCTTTAGTGCATATCAGTAATAACATTCTTTTAAAATGTGTACTGGCTTTGTTCCTTGATTCTTGGAACAGCTTGTGCATTTATTACATCTGTAAATAGAATGGAGTATTAAGAATAAAAGGCAAGACTATGCTGAGTTTCATCTTACTTTGTAGTTGTTTATATAGATATTTACACAGTAACTAAGCTTTTATTTCTGATATTTTGTCCATGAAATATTAAATTCCAGTAAATTAAACTTCAAAGCTAAACTTTGAGCTTGTTGTTGATTTAATTTTACATTGGTGATCTCCTTTTACTTCCAGATTTTTAAAGTTTTAGCATATGCTGTTTTCCTTTTAGAAAACATATTTTCAAGTTGATTTAATATTTGGAAAGTTGAGGGTAAGGTATAATTATGGTCTTCCTTTGCTGTGGAGGAAAAAAGGCATTATATTTGCCAAATTATTATCTGAGCATTCATTTCAAATGGAGTGGCTCATTGAATATATCTTAAACGAATAATACATGGCTTAGGAGAAGGAAAATGGGCCAGGCTCAGAATGGAAAGGTTAAGAAAAACAAAAGTGAAGTTAAAATTAAAGTTAAAATGGTAAATCCATTAAAATGTCAAGAGGTCTTCAGAGCTGAGGAGCACAGGCGGGGTGTTTGCTATTTTGAAAATACAAACTCCATGCAGAGGAGCAAGATGGATTTTCAGAAGCATATAGTTAGATGCAGCAAGACAGTTAAGTAGGCAATGGCCATGTTAGCCAATTTTGCTCCAACTTGCATAAGAAAAACGAGCCTCTTTAAACTCCCAGGATAGTCAGTTTTAATAACTCATGCATTTCAATTTAATAATTTAATAATATAGCTTTGACTAACATATTTCTGCCTTGTGTTGCAACATAACACTGTCAGTTTAATAATCCCTCTTTTAAAATAATAATATGTAGACAAATGTATTAAGGAAGTAATAGAGGTGGAAGTACAGGCCTGAATTCAGTCAACTTTTAACAAGTCAGCATTTAATAAAAATAATAAGTAATTTAAATAAGTAACTTAATTTTGCTGGGTGTGATTTAGTAGTATCATTACCTAGTGGTAATTATGATAATTTTGAAGTAAATTCATTTAATGAGATAAATAATTTGCAATAGTGTAGACAGGTACAGGAAGCAGTAATGGATTCAAGTGACCAGAGAAAGGAAATCTCTGCAGTGAAGTCATCTAATAAATCTTTGAAATTCATAGAAAAGACAAAAGGAAAGGTGGCTGATATGGATTTGCCAGAATTGGAATCTGATTCTGCTGATAATATGGAGAAGCTGGAAAGTGACTCTGAACAGGATTCTGATAAGGAGTCAGATCAAGAAAGTAATAGGACTAGGCTTTAGGGTTGATCTTTTCAAGAGTTTGCTGAGTAAAGTGCTTATTACTTTGGATTTAAATTCAGTTGAGAACAGTATTAAAGGTAGTTTTCAAGGTCAGAAGAGGGCAAGCAAATTGATAGCAAAAATGACTCTTGAGATGTACAGAATCTGTTACTAGACATATTAAAAAAAGTAAAGGGAATTTGAGCGGTATCTATTGAGCCACTCATATTTGCATGTTTTCAAACTCTTAAGTTGGCAGAAGCTGAGGCTAACAGTGAGACCTCATGCCGCTCACTGAATTTGAACCTGTAACCTTTCAGTCAGCAAGTTCAGCAGCTCAGCACTTTAATCCACTGCACCACCATGGGCAGTATATATAAAAGTTAATAAAAGTTAAGGGGCAGTACTTATATTGCTTTGTATCTAAGTCACCTAGGGTTTGGTGGTTAATTTTTAAACAAAAAATTGTAGACAAATACAGGAGTATATACTGTAGCATGTAATCTAGACACAGATTTGAAATATGCTTCCACCCATAGCCTTTTGAGTAAAATATTTGTTTCCCCTGTCCTTTCTGCTTTTACTTTTGCAGCTTTTTGGTTGGTGAAGGAGCCTTCAAATGGGCAGTGGATCATGGAATACCAGCCTGTCCTCCAAGCATCATGGCAACAAGTGAGTAGATGTTTTCTCGGAATGGGGTTCTAAAGCACACAGTCCAGGAAACATTAAAATCAATCGGAATTAAGAAACATGAATATATTTAGGTATCATTGGTGCATGGTCTCACTGAACATGGTTTCTGTTTTGTTTGGATTACCTGCAAATGAGCTGTAATTGGATATACAAGGAATTATTAAATCTTCAGTCCATTTTTTGCAAACCTCTCTTGTAAGAGAAACTCGTGTAAGAATTACAAAGTGGTTGATCTTGTGTATTAAGAGGCTGAATAAAATGACTTGTCTGTATTGCACCTTCTGTTTCACACTGATGGAAACAACACTTATCTATTTTTGAGAGAATTGTGCATCCAAGGAGAAATAAAAGTAGACAGCATGTATAGTTTCAAAATCCCAATGATTTGTGTTATGTCCATCTCAACAATTTGCGAGTATGAGATTGTAGTAAGCACCTGTTCTCTAATTCTGTTACAAGTTCTCATCTCACTTGCATCATCTTGCAGCATTCTGTGAAATTGCTGGTTTACTCTTTCCCATCTATTGTAGTTTAATACATACTGTTGCACTCCAGACCAGAAAAGACTCTGTACTTAATCACCATACTCCAGTCCAAGTTAAATCAGCAAAGCAGTTTATTGAAGATTATAATAAAGCACTTCAGCAAAAATAGTAAAAACTTCAAAGTCTATATGTGTAAAAATAATCCACAAGGTTCAAGGTACAGGACTAATCCAAAATCCCAAAGCAACAGGACATCCAGCATAGGAATACAAGGAAACCAAGAAATACAAGGCAGCATAAAATCCAATACAAAAATCCAGGGACAATCCTTCAAACTAGCCGGTCTGAGTCCCTCTACGGAGGTGAGAAGATCGAGATGCAAAAGTTTTAAATAAATTTAAATAAATAAATAAAAAGAAGCATGAAACAGGAGCAAAGACATGAAACTAGAATTCCCTTAGAAAGCTTGACTAGAACTTGGTACGAGCTGTTGTCTCAATTACCAATGTTGACCAGACTGGCCAGGAAACGATCCTGGCCTCTCTAATAAAGACATGAAGTCATGCCTCCTCCCATGAGTTTCTGCTATGGGTTTCTTCTGTAATAGGTGCTGTGACCTTTGGAGGTTCTGCTGAGCAGCCCAAAATTTGCAAAAACGAAGCCTCCTATCTACCAGCTCATCATCTTACAACTCATTATTTTCTGCACCTGGAATTTCAGCCTCTGAACTCTTTCCACTAGAGAACAGCTTCTTTGCACCATGTTGATGTGACCTTCACTGACTGAATGAAGCACAGACTGCTCATTTTCAGGACTTAAAATCTCATTATAGCTCGCAGTCCCAGAATCCCCATGACCTACGTCCACATCAACATGAGTACCAGGCACAATCATGGGCTGAACTACAATACATGCCGTATTTACTCGAATGTAAAGCACATCTTTTTTGGCTTAATTGCATAGCCAAAAACGGGCTGTGCTTTACATTAGATTGTGCATTACATTTGATGGTCTCCCGAGGGGGAGGTTTTGGATGCCTCCTGAATGAGGCCAGTTGGGAACATAGTGAGGCTGGTGAAGGGGTGTGGATTCCCCTTAATTCTTGGCCCTTTGTGTATTCTGGATATGAATACTCACAAGGTGTCTTACACCTATTGAGTAATGCATTTTGATATATGAGAAGTATTTTGAATCGGTATTTTTCTTTTTTATTTGTATAGACACTTCAACCTTAAATACTATGAACAATTAGAAGGAAAACCATAGGGATACAGTGTACCCTCTCCAGAATTTCACTTTCTGATCATTATTATTATTTTTTTGCCATTGGTCATAAAGTGTCCGCAACACAAATTGACTAATTCGTTAGTAATAAATACATTAGTAATAAATACATCATAAACTTTGCCTTACTATTGTATTTCACCCAATTCATTGTCAAAGCGAGCCTGTAATAGCTGCATTGCCTGCTTCTTTTCAGTAGACTCTGTGAAACGACTCCAGAGGGTGCTGTGTGATTGGGCAGCTTTTGCCTGTGCTTTCTGAGCATACAAAAATTTCTGTCTTCCCATTATCACACAAAAATATTTTTGTTTAGGCTTTTATAACTCCGAAACTGTAATAGCTTTATTTACTGGTAGTAAGACACATCACTGAAGCTCATGACCTGTACAGTTGTTTGTGAAGTTCCGCAAAAAGATTATTTGCTGCTGTTAAGATGATTGTGAACTGTATTTATTAAAATGTAGAGTTAAACTGAATTGAGATAATGAGGAAAAGGGAAAACAGTGCTCAAGCAGATTTGTTACAGTCTTAATATTAGGAAAAAGCATTCATTCAATAATTTTCCTTAAGGTACAGATAATCATGATTCTTGAGCAGAAATACAATTTTTCAATATTTCTTTCTCAAAGGGTTCAGCAAGTGGGTTGTTGTAGGTTTTTTCGGGCTATATGGCCATGTTCTAGAGGCATTTTCTCCTGACGTTTCGCCTGCATCTATGGCAAGTATCTTCAGAGGTAGTGAGGTTCAGCAAGTAATTTCAGGAATTTTACTCAAAAATCTCACAATTTTCAAAATTTCAAAATTTGTGTCCGAATCTAGGATTTATTCCATCCAATGTTCTAGTGTGGTGATTTTGCACAGAAGATAGCATTTTCTGAGCAGGAAAAAGCACTGTTTCCCCTCTCAGATATGTCATGGACTGGCACTGTATTTGTGCCCATTGGATACTTGCTGTGGGCCAGCATCAGTCCATGGATTACCTTGTTGGTAGCACCTCACTAGTTAACCTGACCCAGCATGGAGGGTACTGTTGAGGATAAAATCGTCATTAGGAATCATGGCCATGCCTTGAGTTCGCTTAAGGAAAAGCACGATACTCATAGAGGTACTATTGAGAGGTGATTCTTTTATATCATTTGCATAAAGCAAATGAATTATGCCTAGAGAAACTGGTAAAAGCAGTCATGGGATTGCACTCTTAGTCAGGGAATCTCTTGTTCAGTAGAATCATGATATGCAGCATATGCTTTGGGGTTTTTTTTGTTTTTCAGCAAATATTTTTTCATAAATAATATAATTTTTTCATAAGTTTTTATTGAGCATTTAAAAATTGCACAAAAAGAAAAGAACAAAAAAGTGGATGATGGTGGTGGAGTTCTGCTTAGTAGATTAGAACTATACAAATGTCTTAATATGTCACCAAGGAAGAAGAAGGGGGTGGGGTGAGGGGAGGGGAGGAGAAGAGAGGACGAGAAGCCTTATATTGGTCATAATTATTACATCTGTATCGTCATCTCAAGTACTTTTATACACACTGTCTCAAGCTTTGAAAAATTCTATATATCCCAAGAACATAAAAGAACACACTCTTGTTATCCAACGTCAAAACTGGTAGTTATGTATTCCCATTTTATTGGATGTTTTTCCTGTCTTCTCTTACAAATCTTTACATTAAAAATGTCTTAATTATTCTAATAAGTTCATTTGTTTAATCCAACAATATTTGAGGTTCATTAACCCATTCCTAAAATATTTGTTCATAAACATTTTAAAATTTTAAAACTTTAAATAAAAGGTATGTTTAAGTTTGAAAGAGAAATACTTCAGTCATTTCCAAAGTGTAGTTTTTACTGAAGCAGGTGCTTTTGTCTAGATATTATTCTTCATAATTTCAATGCTGTTAAATATTTTTTAAGGACTTAGCTTAGCAGCGTTTAAGCGGAACAAGAGAAAACTAGAATTGGCAGAAAAAGTGGAAACGGATCTCTTTCAGTTGAAAAAAAGAAGACAATCAAGTGAAAAGGTTAGTACACATTTAGGAAGATTGTTGTCACCTTTGAGATATTGAGGTTCCTCACCATATGAGGGTTAAAAGCCTGAAAATGTTTCACAAGCTCTTATTTCTAAAATGAAAAATATTGTAACATTTGTACATATATTATAACAACTAAAAGGGAAAAAGACGTGTGCTGTTACAAAAAGAGTTTGGGGGCATGTTTCTGTACGTGGATGCAGGATTCCCTCTTATCCATCGCTCTTTCAGTGCTGTTCTAAAGAATTATATGGTCCTCAGGAGCAGCTTATTTTGCATGTGAAAAAAATCTTAGTGTTACTACTAGATTGCATGCAGTCCTTCAGATTCTACTTCGAAAGTTTTAGTAAGTAAAGGAAGGAAAGTGTAAGTGTAACAACATTTCTCACTCAAAGGGTTGAAAGAAACTATCAAGAAAATATAATGATTGGATCTCACCTTAATCATATTCTGAGAACATTAAATGAAATCAATGGGGCAAAGTTATATACCCTGTTGCGATTTATGTTTTTGTGAGTTTATGCACTCAGCACACCAGGAAAAGTAAAGGAAGGAAATTCCAGTTCTCTCTGTCTCCATGCACATGTGCATACAGACACTTTTTAAAAGGAGAGGAAGAACATCCTCTTCTTACTCTCCAAATTTCCTTCTCCTCCTCCTCCTGGTGCATTAATAAAATTGGATTCTGGGCACAGTGTTGGGTTGAGATATCTGTCTGGACTGAAAGAGAGAGGAATGAGAACATACCTTCCAGATCACTCTTAAAAAAAGTGGGAAGAGAAAAGATTTATGCTACTTTTTCATGTCAGGAGCGACTTGAGAAATTGCAAGTTGCTTCTGGTGTGAGAGAATTGGCTGTCTGCAGAGACATTGCTTAGGGGATGCCCAGATGTTTTACCATCCTTTGGGATGCTTGTCTCATGTCCCCACATGGGAAACTGGAACTGACAGACAGGAGCTCACCTTACTCCCCAGATTCAAACCACAGACCTTTCGGGCAGCAGTTCAGCCGGCACAAGGGTTTAACCCATTGCACCACCGGGGGCTCCTGACTGTGCTACTGATTATAGTATTTGATGATAAGGTCTTTCAGAATTCTTGATATTGAATAGTGCAGTGTTTCTTAATAAAATTGTTTGTTAAAATTCACCCATCATAGTTTTTCATTCAAATGGAAGTATGAGTTTTAAATCTTCCGTCTGACTCAATACAGCACAGTTCTCCACATCTTGAAGTTACACAGCCTTCTCAAAATGTAACAGCAACAGCAACATCTTTAATGTAAAGGATTTTGCATTCAGCCAAGTGCCAGATAATTGCAGCTAAGGGGCATACGCTAACACAGGGGTCCTCAAACTTTTTAAACAGAGGGCCAGGTCACAGTCCCTCAAAGTGTTGGAGGGCCGGATTATAATTTGAAAAAAAACCATGAATGAATTCTTATGCACACTGCACATACCTTATTTTTTAGTGCAGAAACACTTAAAACACTACAATAATTAAAATGAAGAACAATTTTAAAAATATAAATTTATTAGTATTTCAATGGGAAGTGTGGGCCTGCTTTTGGCTGATGAGATAGGATTGTTGTTGTTGTGTCCTTTCAAGTCATTACAGACTTAGCTTGACCCTAAGCGAGGGCCGGGTAAATGATCTTGGAGGGCCGCATTCAGCCCCCGGGCCTTAGTTTGAGGACCCCTGCTCTAACAGATGCATAATTTAGGCAAGGTAGGATATCCTGAGTTATGGTGTGTTTGTCCCAGATTTTTTCCTCCACTGAAACAGACACAAGGGGATAATGATACTCTCCTCTCCAATTGCATGTAGCTAGATAACACCAGAAGCTAAGTCCCTGAAATCAGAGTTCCCATGTCAGCTGCAGCTTCCAATTGGCACTTTGGCCAGGGGACAAATTTCCTGCCTCCTTCACTTTTGAGGAGTTGTTTGTACTTGGTTGTTACAAGTAGAACTGCATTGATCATGACCATGTGACCTAGCCAGGTTTTCCAGCTCCTAGTGGGAAACAATGCAAAGTATCTGAGCACTGGTTGGATATACTCCCCCTATGTTTTACCCATTGTGAAGGATGCAGCACAGCAAATGTGGCTCTAGGATCGAGGCATCAACTGCATCTATTGCTTAGATCTGAGGAGTTTCACTCATCCTACCGAAGCTTCCTACCATTATGTGTGATTAGATGTTCCCTGTGTCCTGTTGGTCTCTCCAGCTAGAAGTGGTGGATCCTCACCTTCTGATTTTCTTTTCCTTGTCTTTCTAATTGGGTTGGGTTGAGGAGACATAAGTTGATAACATTTTGAGGACAGGTTGGCATTGGGAGAAGGAAGGGCCTTGCTGGATTTTTTGTGGTCTGATAAGAGATCATTTGCAAGCAAAGTGTTGTTTTCCTCTAGCATAAAATATTAGAACCATTATTGGTGACTGCTGACTCAATGATTCTGATAATTTCTTTCCATTAGAATAAAAAAAACCCAATTGATTCAATCTACTGACATCATTATATTCCATTTATTTTTATTTTCTGTCTGTAAAATGCATGTTCATTATTTTGGGTGTTTTTTGTTTTTGTTTTGGTATACACTACCCGTCTGTACAAGAAAGCCAAAACTCCATCTGTTGGCCTGGCAACATTACTGTTGAGATTGAATAGTGATTTCTTAGAGTGATCAGTCTGAGCATGTTTGAAGGTCATTCAAGTACTTACTTTTTTCCCTCCTGGTCGATATGGCCAGTGTGATTAAAGTGTGCTGAAAGAAGAGATATCTCTATTTCAGTGCACATCAATGACTACATTGGATATTTTATTTCAGTTAGTAATTGTGATTACTTCAGTTATTTCAGTTAGTAAATGCCCAGAATTAATGAGCTAACTGAGATAAGCAGACATGCTTTTTTAAAGCAGACATCCCATCCTGTCTGCTCAAAATTCTGAACTATTTTTATTTGGTGGAGTTTTTTTTCCAGGAAAACAAGCAAAAGGTTGTATTTTTAGATTACTAGAATAGGCCTGCACAACCTGTGGCTCTCCAGCTGTTTTGACCTCCAACTCCCAGAATTCCTGTTGGACAAGCTGGCAATGGTTTCTGGGTATTGGAGGCCAAAACAGTTGGAGGGCCTCAGGTTGTGCAAGCCTGGAATAGAATATAATAGGCCTTTGGTTTACGAGCAGTAGATCCACAAATTTAGCCAACCACAAGTTCAAAGTTTTTGAAAAAAAATATTGGAAATTTAATTAATTGAGTGCCTCTACATACAGAGGGAGAAGAAGGTACTAAAATAATCCTTGCTACATAGCTTTGCACTCACCTCCACAACTAGCTGTTCTAGGTCAAAGCCTATGATGAAAACATACTGCAACAAGACAGCAGCAGAAATGGCAGCAAACCCTAGCTCTCTGTATGTGTGTCATTCTGTATGTTTGAGTGAATCAATGGATGTGTGTGTGAGCATTTCCAGCAGGAAAATAAATAATAAAATAAAATTCATATTGGGGAACATGTTGGGAATCTATGCCCTAATACAAAGTATGAGGGGTCTAGTGAGGCCGTAAACACTGGCAGTTGTCTTCCCTTGGTCTATGCCATACACAGGAAGAAATCACTGTATAATATTATATAAAAGTGATATAATTCCTTTTTGTGTAAAGGATCTTACTCATTTTACATGATATGTAGTTTGAAGGCCTCTCTTCAGGCCTTCTGGGTCAATCTAAAAACATGACTCTTCAGACAGGTCTTTGATCCTGAGTAATCAAAGGCCAATGTGATGAACAATGGTATTACTGGCCCACACTTTGATTGATTGTTACGACAGATAACTGGTCAGCAGATCCCAGTGCATTTTAGGAATGTTATAATTTTCATTTTTTAATAATTTTATTAATGAGATCTTTATGCACTGTTATTATATTTATGTATTGCATTAATACTTATGTATTGTTGTCTGCATGTGGCACGTGGAGTGCTTCTGTGAGCCACCCTGAGTCTCTTTGGGGAGATGGTGGTGGGGTACAAATAAAGATTATTATTATTTATTATTGGCTGTGATGCTTCCAAGCACTTCTGATTATTCAGTTTAAAAAATCCCAGTGGGCAAAAGTCATGAATGAGAAGTAGAGAAGATCTTGCTTCTCCAAATTGTTCCACTTTTTCTATAACGGGTGCCACTGCTGAGAGTCCTCTCTCTTGTAGATGATCTTCATACCTCTGATGGAAGATGAACATTGACAGATGATCTTGACAAATGGGTATGGAATGTGTACAGGGTGAGCAAAGAAAAATAAGTAGTCTTTTCCTGCATTGGTAGCTTGTTTACTATGAGTTCCAGTATGGTCTTCATATACAGAAAGATCTATCTCATGGCAACTCTTTGAAAATGTTTTCAATACCTTTGTTTACCCATCATGTAGGAGAATGACTCAGGAACACTGGATACTGTTGGTGCAGTTGTTGTTGATCAAGAAGGAAATGTTGCTGCCGCAGTGTCCAGTGGAGGTTTAGCGTTGAAACATCCTGGAAGAGTTGGTCAGGTAGGTCAAACCTGTGCTTGCAACAAACCAGGGAAAAAGGAGACATACCAATCATGGCCAGAGATCCTGTGGGATGATGCAGCACTTATTCTCACTCAGCCTGGAAAAAAGCAGAAAGACTGCACTCACACATACCAGACAGTTTAATCCTGGTCTCTTTCCAGGGAGGCCATTAAAGTGACACCCTCACCCATAGCAGCCATAGCTGTGTGGTCTTGGGTGCCAATTATTTTGCTTTGATTGCTGTTCTAATCCTGCATCTTGGATTTGGAACATATCCAATGTTTGTATCATCAACTATTGAAGTCTTTTCTGTAATTTCCCTTAATCTTCATCTGATATTGTTTTTTGTGAGGATTGTTAGAAACATCAGATCTGAGTCAGTAATTGGTTAGTATTTAGGTGGGAGACCAAGGGCTTGACCAAATGATCTCAGGAGCCGTATATGGACCCAGGGCAAGACCTTCCTCACCTCTGATGTTGAACCATTTAGGGTCATGGTCCTTTGCTAATAAATCTGGATTCCCACACATTTCTTCTTTATCTGACAATGTCAATTCTTTGGCTAAACGTGGTTTTATATACAAATCAATTCCATTTTTCATTTTCTTTGCCACCAAAATATATTCCTTTCCCAATTTATTACGTGTGAGATGTTTCGGAACAAGGAACGTATTTTCTTATAAGTGTCTATTACAAACAAATTATTACTATTACATGTTGTTAAGTAATGCAATATCTTCTTCCACTTTGAGGTATCCAATCCATTAATATTTCATAGTAAGTATTCGTAATAATTGGTGATAACCAATTATTCAGGCTAATTCCACAAAAACATCCTGCAGTAATCACTTTCACAATTTCTTCCTCTTCAGATGATGCTCTCTTACCCATATCATGCAGTCTTGATCTTGGCTTCTCCTTTCTTATAATCTACTTGCACATCTTTTAGATCAGTCTTCTATATTTTTTCTGGAAATTGCTTTCTTTGCATCATTGAGTTGACATTTTTGAACTTTGAAGATGAAACTCATTTCTTCCAAATATTGTCATCTGAATGGTTCAGATTCTCTGCTAGGAAATTGTTATTTCCCTTGTGCAGAATTCTGACTGGAATCTTTTTTAAAACTACAGCATCTCTTCTGTCCCTCAGTTTGTTTTCAACGTAATTTTATAGACTTCCTGAGGAAATATCAAATCTCACAGAAGTTTTGTTGTTGCAATTTTTGAGTTAATTCTGTAAACTCTTTTATCAGTTTCAACTCCTGCTCCCAGGCCTCTGTGGTCCAAGCAAAGTTTCAGAAGAGAACAAGTGGCTGATTTTGACCCCCCCCTTTTTTTTTTTGATGGAGGAAGTTTATCTGGTCAAATTTTGCTTCCTCTGGCATGACACATGACTCAAAGGCAACAATATGCCAATTTACCCCATCGAGAATGTTCCGTGAAAGCTTCCCTATATATATAAAAAACATATTTAATTGATATGATGTAGCTACATTTGCTAATATTCCAACATTATTTTCTTCTGTTATAATTAGGCTAACACATAGTTTTCCCCAAAGTAATTTTTTTCTTAGCTTACCATCCCCTAGATCTAGCAAAAAGAAAGGGGAAAATCTGTGTATCTTTATCCTTTGCCAGTTAGATCAGGCCTAATATCTGGAAGTTACACTTCTCTTATTAATTGAACAGAGATTGTTATACATACATTTGAGTATGATAACAAAAAACAAGGTTCTGCACTTATTATGTACAATGAAGAAAGGAAGTACTCCTTAAAGTATTTGTGCAGTTTGAGAAGATTTTTCTAATACTCATATGTGATTTTCTTACATGTAATTAAATATAGTTGAAGGGCGCTGCTTTCTTTGTAAAATACTATGTTTTCCTGCATTACCTGATCAAACCTCTTCTTTCTCTTTCTCTCTCTTTTTATAAAACTTTCTTCCTCTTCTGTCAGGCAGCTCTCTATGGATGTGGCTGCTGGGCTGAAAATGTGGGAATTCAGAATCCTTATTCTACAGCTGTGAGTACCTCAGGTATTTATTATTCTTACAAATATTTGACTGGACTTCGTCCTTCCTCCCAACACACAGATACTTGAATAAATTGCTGCTTTGTGTTCATGGAAGTGAATTTCTCTTGCTTATAATTGGATAGGTGATGTTGTTACTTAATCTTCAGCATATAAGACAACTTGATACAGAACAGGGGTGGGTCGTTTTGACTGACTCAGGGACCCTCTCCTTCAGGGTTATTGAGGGGGCCAGGAATGGAAAACTAAACAAAGAAGCAAAATTGGATATGACTGGAAAAGCATTTCTGGATTTGAAAGAATAAGCTCTGTGTGTGCCTGTATTCAGCTCCATGTTCCCATTTTGCCTACATCTACAGGATATACTTGAAATTCTTCTTGTTCCAATCTGAAAGACTATAGTTGCACAGAAATGTCCACTGATACTGATTTAATTCAAAAATACTGTAACAGGGCTAAATGTATGAGATTCAAGCTTCTTTTTAAGCCTATACTCTCTATTCCCCCTGCATGATCATAGAGGGCCCATGGCATCCATTGCAGTTTGGTTCCAGCATACACACACACTGTGACTATAAAAAAACTGTGGATGCATACTATGTACAGTGGTGAAGTAAAGTGATATCTCTTACATAAAATGGCAAAATCGAGGTTTGGTTTTTGAATTTTTTAAAGGGGGCAGGGGAGTTTCTAGCGATGGGTGGTTGAATCCACATATCCAGAGTCCATTGGTAATAAGGGCCAACTGTATTAGGAAATTGAAAGCTTTTCCCCATCACCATTTAACAATTATCATTTATATGTAAATCCAAAACTCTGGTTAGTCCCAACTCTGGCTTGTGGAAGCTAACAAGGGCTTTAACTGCAGTTTCAGGTTGGCTTGTTTCTGTAAACCATGATTAAAACTAGCCATAGTTTGTTCTCTCTGGGATATAATGAATAAGTCATTGTTCATTCTCGTAATCTTAAAGTTGGTGAATTTTGTGGGTGACACAGCTATAATTAAAGAGATACCTCTAGCATTGTGTCAGAACAAAAGCCATTAACTTTATATGGATGTAACACTTAAGTGTGCCTTGTTTTATAGAGCAGCTTCTTTATGAGTGTTAAGTTCTTTTTTAAGTGTTAGGCATAAAGCAGGGTATGAAAGGGCTTCCTTAGTTCTGGGTAGATGTTAGAAAACAACAGTAAAGTCAGTTACCTCACTCTCCATCTTTTGTACTTACAACACAATCTCACTGATAACTTCTATGTCCTCTTTGGCAACTGGTTTCTGTGAGGTAAGCTCAACCATGTTTTTTTTCGTTATGCTTGGATGTTCCTCTGTGGTTATTGAAACCATGGATGAGCACTGTGACCACCTGTGCCTCCCATGTCCTTTTCCTCCTCCATTGTGAGCTTTAACCTGAAACTCTCTGTTACATCTGGATCTTGGAGGAGGCTGTGCTAGTTGTGCTAGTACCTGGGCATTGACATCAGATACGTTTTCCCTGTAGTGGTGTCCAGGGCCTTCATATATGGATCTTACGGATGCTACAGTGTTTTAATGCAGAATCCACATGCGTAGTAAGGACTAATGGAGCCTGGTCTAATGATAGCAAGCAGAGTACTAGAGACAAGTTGAAGTGGGGAGCAATCAAGGGCAGAAAGAGAAAAGAAAAAAAGAACAAGCTCAATTCCTGTCAACCAGCTTACTGTGGCTGTTCTTGAGGAAGAGGTATAATAAACGTAAACTGTATTTGCAAATATTTTCATTTAGAAGAAGGTGACTTTTAACATTCTGTTTGTTGTAGTATTCTTCAAATTTGTTTATGGAGGATTTTGTTCTCCATACAAGTATTAATATTCCTATGAAGATAGAAAGTTCATTGTAATTTGCAAATGAAAATGTATGAGGAACTGGCAAAACCATCTCTGAGTACTCCTTGCCTTAGAAAATCCTTTAAAATTCATGGGGTCAACAGACAGCTTGAAAGCACACACACAAACATTTTTGTGTTTCAAATACACATTCACTGTGATTCTCTTAATATGTAGTAAATGAGATAAAGTGTGCAGCTAACTCAGAATGAAACAAAACAAAAGCCAGCCCTAGAGAAAAAAAATACATTTTCTGCTGTTTTAGAGTGCAAAAGGTTGTACAATTCTCTGGGCATCATCTTGCTGGAGCCTCAGAACAGGGATTCTTATGATTTGATCCTTTTCCCATTTACGTCTGAAGTAAATAATTCTGCCTTTAGGCATTTTGGCCTTCATTTTTCTGGAGAGGGAATTGGTTGGAGGTAATATAAATGGACCACAAAGCGATATCCAACTATTCAACAGGAGGAAAAGTACATTGAAGTCCCAAATGCTGCGGTTGAAATCAGAGTAGAAGGAAATATTGGTTTATTTCTCCAGGAATTCGTGTTTCATTTATGAATAAATAATCCATCTTTTTTGATGGTTCAGAATATGTTGCACTACTTCCTCTGTTTTTAAGTCAGTTCTGATTTCACATCTTACTTGGTGTGGTCTGTTAAGCTTGCACAGTGAACTAAACTATTGTTTTTATTGTCTGTTTAAAGCCCATGATGGTTGGTTGTGGGAAGCAGTATGCAGGAGAAGATAGTCCTTTGCCAGATCTTGATATATGTTTGCTAGTGTGAGACCCTGGAATTCTTTGTATGGTTATTAAAATCTGGATTTCCTATTTTATTTTATTATCTAGAAGTGTTGATCTACTTGTATCCTTTCCCCCCCAAATATTGCTGTAAATTTCTTTGAACATTATCTTTCTATGGAAAATGAGCAGGCAAACTGATAGTGATCATCTGGCATGGCTGTATTTATGTTCAGATAATTGTAGTTGTTTTTGCTCTTCACTTTTAAACCAGCACTGTCTGCAAGGTTAGGTGAGCAGAAGTCCATGTATGTATGTGTGTGTGTGTGTGTGCAGTGATTGTACTAACCATGTCAGTACAGAAGGGGGAAAATACTCAGATATTATGCCAAGAGACAGCATAATATTTGTGTATTCTCCCCCTTCTGTATTGATGTTGCAAGATAGAAGGTAAGTTATACTCAGCGATCATCATCTCAATTTTTGGGGTCAGTAGGCTTGCATCTGACAGCTTTTTCATCTACTTATAAGGTGTAACTCTTTGATGCAGGTGGAAAGCATCCTGTCCTTTACGTATAATACAATAAATAACTTTATTTTTAACCCACCTTCTCTCCCTGAAGGGACTCAGGGCAACTCCCATAAATGAAAATTGCAAACGTTCAGTGTCGTATACAATAATAAAATGCAAACATTAAGACAGACAATTACAACAAATTAAACAACTTTGGCTAAAAGATATAAGATATATATTGGTAAGTCCGGTATCATAGATAATTCAACTGATAAGTTGTGCCTGATAGCAGTGTTAACAAAAGATTTCTATTTTCACACATTTCTATCCTCCCAAGGGTGGTTCATTTCCTTTTTTTCAAAGTGGTACTATAAGAAGTATGTAGGAATTGTGTACTAGTATCAATGACAATTTTAAATGTTTCTGGTACTAGATCTTTATAGTTTGGTTGCCAAATCACTCGGTTTGAAGCCAGCATTTCCTGCTTCCAAATCAAACACAAAACAAAATCTCATTTGCATAACTCCATGTTCCCACATCTGTCCCCTGATTCCTCTTCTTTCCCTTTGTTATCATAAAACCTTTGAGTTTAAACTCTGTATAACACTGGATCCTTTCCCTTATGTTGCATTAATAATGATTTCACCATTCAGTGGTGGCTTCTATTAGTTGAATAAAAGAACAATTGAAGATTTAAACTAGGAGTGCAATATTTTGTAACCCAATCGTAATATTCTCGGGCACAAACTGTGTAGATGACAACAGAATGGAATAGAATAATCAGAGTATATTACATCTCAAAATATGTCATCAAACTTTATTACAGTCCATAGACCCAATTTGGTCAGCGGAAAATGTCCACAGCTGATTAATAAACCGATAAGACCACTTAAAAACAGGCCAATTATCCATAATTCGCATTCTAATTGCAAGCAGTTAAATCAGAAGACCTTTTTGGCAATTTAAAAAGATTTTCTAAATGGAGCTGCACATACATATGATTTTTTAATTGTTACTTATTTCTGGAGGCAGATATCACGAAAATTATGCACTGACCTTTTTTTTTTGCTCATCTTCATCTATAGTGTTAGCATATTTTAATAATTATTTTAATATGGCTGAAGAAAGCCAAAGGATTGGACGCTATAGATCATTGAAGGTGCTTCTGTATTCTGTTTTTTTAAAGTTAAGGTACAAGCAATAAGGTACAATCACTGAGCTCAAATACTGAGTGATATGAAGTACTGTACCAGATACATGTGTTTTTGTTTTTTAACTTCAGCTATCACAACATACTACTGTGACTGAAAAAGCCAAGATGAAAAGTGCTTTTTCAAAATAGTTGCTACAAAGAGTTTTGAAATCCTGGTGAGTGTCACTTTGGGAGAAGAGATCAAAGCTTGTGGTCTTTGTAGTATTGTGAGTAGACAACGTTTATAAGGCAACCCTTCCCCCCTCCCCGTTTAGATCCATGAGCAGCTTTGTTATTGTGGCAGAATACTGCCTGACTTTCTCCCCCATAGCCTTTTGCATATGGCTTGCAGAAAGAGGGCTGGATTTTCATTTCTCCTCGTTCAATAGGAGTTGCTTTCATGTTTGAAAATTGAAAACGCGTGTTATTCAGTGTGGTGTTTGAATGTGGATGCCCTGTGACGCACCTGCTTCTAATTTCCTGACTTGAAAGGAGAGCCCATCAAAAGAAGCAGAAAAACAGTTTCTGTGTCACATTGCTCTGAAACCCCATGCTTTACAGAGGTTCTTTGCTATGCCATCTTGGTTCCATTGATAGACAACTCTGAGATGCAGGGTCTGAATAATAAGCAACATTTCACTTTATCCTATGCTGAAACTTTTTAAGACTCTTGTTGTGGTTACTTTAAACTTCAGA